CCGCTTTTCTAATATACAGTCCCATATCCCTTCAAACAAAAGCATGATCAACCTATACAGCAGTACCCCATTTCTGGTACCAACTTCTGTCTCAGGGTTTCTGTTTCTGTGAAGAGACACCATGATGATAGCGGCTCTTGTAAAGTAAAACATTTAAATGGGTGGCTTAGAGTTTTCAGAGGCTATATCTACTCCAACAATATTGCTAATATTGCCACTCCCTATGACCTTTGAGGGTCAATTACATTCAAACTGCCACAATGAAATAAGATTTATCATTTGAAAAGTGAAAGTATTTTAGTGTACTGTTTTATTCTAAGAGAATTTTACTTGACAGGCATGAGGATATTATAGTACCTACTATATATGAGGTAATACAGTAAATAATTCTTATGCTAGGAGTGAATGAACACAGGCACATAAATTATGGCAGGAGAACATAGTTATTAAAGAAAAATCTCATTAGTGAGTATATCTTTTGTTTAAGGAGTTTAACCTTTGAGTTTGTAAGAATTCTGATGGTAAGAGAAAAAATTTACTTTACCTCATACAGACTAGCTAGTTTCAAGTTTGAAGTAAGAAATTATTAGTACTTAAATAGTATTTGTTGGCTTTTATATACTTTCATAGTGTAAATACTTTGCTCAAAACTCATGGTTTTTTTTTTTTTTGCTGTTGTTTTGGTTTTTGAGACAGTCTCACTATGTAGACTTGACTGGCCTGAAACTATGCATATGTAAACCAGGCTTGCTTCAGAACTCAAATCTGCCAGCCTTCTTGAGTTCTGGGATTAAAGGTGTTGCTACCACACCCAGTTTAGATCTAAAGTTTTAAAAAGGAAGAATACATTTCAGAAGGGTAAAACAAGTCTTTCCTTTTGAAGGTATTCTGCTTTTCAAGTAGCAGGTTACAGTATTATCACTATGCCTCACTTAAGTTCTCAACTATAGTAGTCTTTATGTTTTCATTGAATTGGAATATCATGTGTAAATTTTATAGTGTTTAATTTGTAGGGATTCTGGAATATTATGTATGATTATAAAGCAATTATATCCAATTATAAATTAATAATAGGATTTCAAAAGCAAAGTGAAAATCCTTTGAAAATTTTTCTAAAAAGAAAAATTTCTGTGCTGGCTGTGCTCATTTTGAAATGTTAGTTGCCATATAGTGTAACCCCTCCACAATAAAAGTACCTGGGAATTTCAAAAGTCCAATAGTTGCCCTGAAGGTCACCGACCAATTACTCCAGCTGTAACTCTGGCTATCTCTCCCTCTCCCTGTCTGTCCTCTCCTGCCTCCATTTATTTTTAGCTTATACAGGCTTAGAATTCATTAATTACCTGTAGCCCAGGTTGGCCTGGAATTCCTAGCAGTCTTTCTGTTTGAGAGCTCTGGGGCAAAGATACCAGTGTGAGCCGTTACACCTGGTTAACTATTCTGTTTTTAATATTTAAATAGACAGTCTTATTAGCCTCAACTGGCTTCTTTGTCCAAGGGCAACTTTTTTTAAAGAGTTCTTGCCTTCTTTTTTTTTTTTTTGTTGGTTTTTACGAGACAGGGTTTCTCTGTATTGTTTCGGAGGCTATCGGTCCAGCCCGACCTCGAACTCACAGAGATCCGCCTGCCTCTGCCTCCCGAGTGCTGGGATTAAAGGCGTGCGCCACCAATGCCCGGCAAAATATATATTTATTTTATGTTTATGGGTGCTCTATGCCTTTAGGCCAGAAGAGGGCATCAGATCCCACTATAGATGTTTGTGAGCCACCACGTGGTTCCAGGGAATTGAACTCAGGATCTCTGGAAGAGCAGCCAGCGCTCTTAACCGCCGAGCCATCTCTCTGGCCTGAGTTCTTGCCTTCTTACAGTAAGATATCCCAGGTCTGCTGTGCCACTTGTTTGTTTGTTTGTTCTCATATCAGAGACTGACGTAGCCCAGGCTAGCCTCAAAACCTTGCTGTACAACTGAAGATAGCCTTGAATGCTTGATCCTACTGCTTCTACTTCCCAAGTGCAAGTACTCCCCAAGTGTGAGAGTGTGAATCATCATGCCCAGCTATGTAGTGCATCTTTACAGTGAGAGAGAGGCCTTATTTAAGTTAGACTACATAATTAGTAACATCATTAGCTTGCTTTGCTCTTGTGTGACCAAGCAGTGAAGTAGGTTCCTGCTACATACAAAACTAGCCCGTTCCGTTTCCACTATATTGGGGGATAAGTTATCCTTACCTAGGCATTCATTGCATTCTTGGCCTGCCTGACCACTTTCACTACCTGGGAGAGAGGGGCATTTCATTGACATTGTAGTTGATGTTGATGGCCTGTTTTCCTCAGGGAGCATGTCAGCAGGAAGGGGACTTTAGAGTTAGCATGAAGAATTGCCTGGAAGCTTATAAAACCAGCTTTTTAGAAATGCCAGAATGTGCTGTCACTGTGAGTTATTAAAAAAGGAGTCTGCAGTTACTAGAATTTAGTGGTATAATAGGAACAGAGATGGAAAATAGAAGAGGATAAATAACTAAAATGGATATGGCATAGACATTTCCCCAAACTTCTGGCCATAGTCAGGTTGCTGGTGCCTATAAGTTTTAGCTATGTCTGGTTACACCAGTGTCTATGGATGCCTCATACATGCTGTGCCATCTCAACCAGTCTCTTCCTCTCCGGGACGTTTCCACCTACCAGTTCTTCTCTGTAAATCAGTGTAAAGTTCTCACAATCCCCTAGATGGGTATTTAAGCATGCCCTCATCTCATGGTTATCCTTCTAGTCTCCAGAACTGTAATTGTCTCTTCCTCTTTTTATCCCTCTGTGTTTCCCAGTCCCCCTCTTCCCTTCCTCTCTCCCCCCCCTTCCTTCTTCCCTTCCTCTTCCTCTTCCTAGCTAGCAATCAGAAATGCAGATGCAAACAAGTCTGCCTCCTCAGGATTATAAAGAGCTTGAGAGTGGCCAGCAAGGGGGAAAATACTCTTTTTGGTTCTGGTTTGTTGCTGCTGTGCAGGCACACATACTAGATCTTGACGTAGGTTTGGGGGCATACATACTAGATCTTGACATAGGTGTTCAGGCATCATGTATGCCAGCACATACCCCATGATCTTGAGATAGGTGTGCAGAGAACTGAGAACATGGAGATCTTCAGTGTTCCCATGTTGGCATTTTAATTTGGATTGGTTTGTTTGTTTTTGAGACAGGGTTTTTCTGTGTAGTCCTGGCTGTTCCGGAACTCAACTTTGTAGGTTAGGTTGGCCTCAAACTCAAGAGATCCACCTACTTCTACCTTCCAAGTCCTGGATTCAAAGGTTTGTGCTACCACCACCTGACTTTAATTTGAGGTTTTTTTTGGGGGGGGGGGTTGAGACAGGGTTTCTCTGTGGCTTTGGAGGCTGTCCTGGAATTAGCTTTTGTAGACCAAGCTGGTCTTGAACTCACAGAGATCCGATTGCCTCTGCCTCCCGGGTGCTGGGATTAAAGGTGTGCACCACCACCTCCCAGCTGCTGCAGGACTTTGTAACACATGCTGAGATCTTATCTAAGTTTGAAGCTTAGAGTCAAGTCAAATATTAAATAAGTATTTGATAAAATGAGATATCTATATACTCCACGAGTTGTGCTCTATTTCTCAGACTTGTTTTCTGGTCAGTTGTAATTCTTTGACTGTTCCTTCAAAAATATGTCATTTTTTAATGAATTTGATCTGAGTATGCACAGTATTTGTTTTGGTTTTTAAGATTTACTTATTTATGTATATGAGTGCTCTGTCTGCATGTATGTCTTTATGCCAGACAAGGGCATCAGATCTCACTATAAATGGTTGTGAGTCACCATGTAGTTGCTGGGCATTAAACTCAGAATCTCTGGAAGAGCAGCTAGTGCTCTTAACTGCTGAGCCATCTCCCCAGCCCACATAATGCTTTTTTCTTCATGTAAAAATTTACATACCTGTAGACTTGCCTGTGCAATATTTTGGGCCCCCAAGTTTTGTCCAAAGAAATGGTGTAACTCATTTTGGTGAGTCGAATTATTTAGACCAGAGTCTTGTTATGAAAGAGTGCTTGCATGTACAAGGCATAGGTCCCGATACTGCAAAAATAAATAAATCTTAAAAGTCCTTACTTTTATTTTGTATCCATCTACTGTGTTCATTTGAGTTTTGTTTTGGTGTGTGTGTGTGTGTGTGTGTGTGTGTGTGTGTGTGTGTGTGTGTGTGTGTGTGTTTTGCTTACATGCATGTCTAGTGTCTACAGAGTTCCGAAGATGGCCTCAGATACCTGGAACTGGAGCAGCTGTTGTGAGCTGCCATATAGGTGCTGGGAATTGAACCCAGGTCCTCTGGAAGAGCAACCAGTGCTCTTAACTGCTGAGTCATCTCACCACACATAACCCATTTTTTAGGGTTGAACTAGGTAGCCCTAGTTGACCTGGAGCTCAACAGAAATCCACTCACCTCTGCTTCCTGAGAGCTTTGGAATTAAAGGTGTATGCTGTCATTGCTGGGTCTGGGGTGGGTTTTGTGGTTTTGTTTTGTTTTGTTTGACATTCTGTAGCCCAGGCTACCCTTGAACGTGTTACATAACCAAAGATGACCTTAAACTTTTGATCTGTCTGCCTCTACCTCACAGGTGTAGGTATGCACTACCACATCTAGTTTATACTATATTGGAGGTTGAATCTAGGGTTTTACACATTCAGCAAATACTCTTACCAATTGAGCTGAACTCCTCACCCTACCCCAATTGGGTTGTTTTGTTTTAGAGATAGGGTCTCATACAGGCCAGGCTGGCCTTGAACTCCACCCCTCAAGTGCTGGGATCATATGTGTTTGCTATCACATCTGGTACTGTATTATGCTCTTAAAGTTTCTGGGAAATGGCCAGTAAGGAGAAAGAACTTACTAGTGAGTTCATGACCATGCTAGAGAATAGGAATTTTACTTTCTGGCTTCTACTTGGCCTCAGTCTAAAGTGCTTCTTATCCCTCCTCCCTTCTTTTTTCTTCAGGTTTTCAAAATAAAAATAGAGTTGCAATTTTGGCTGAACTGGACAAAGAGAAAAGAAAATTACTTATGCAGAACCAATCTTCAGCAAGTCACCCTGGAGCTAGGTATTGACTATTCTTTGGAGGTGCATTTGTTAATCATGCTTTGAAAGAGAAAAGCACTCTTGGAGACTTTGGAGGTCTCATTACTGTTAGAATTAGGTCTACACTTGAAGCGTCTTCTTACCAAAATCCCAATTGTGTTTGTAGTCTACTTGTTCCTATTATGCCATGTGCATCCCATTTCATCATAACTGCTGTTGTCTGTGAGATTTGTTCTGTCTATCCGTAGTGTTCAGCACAGAGCCAGCTATCTAATAGCTGCTTTAGAATCTCATGAATAAGCCACTGTCAGTTTGGTTTAAAAAAATAATTTGCAGTTGTTCAGTCTGTATAGAACATGGTTATTATAAGTATAATTATCATTACATACAATGAAGTATGGTTTTACTATTGATGCTATTTATTAAGTTTTTAAAAATGTTAATGTTCGATGTGGTGGTGCACACCTTAAATTAATCCCAGCACTTGGGAGGCAGTATGGTTTTACTATTGATGCTATTTATTAAGTTTTTAAAAATGTTAATGTTCGATGTGGTGGTGTACACCTTAAATTAATCCCAGCACTTGGGAGGCAGAGGCAGGTGGATCTTTGGGAGTTCAAAGCCAGCCTGATCTACATAGTGAGATCCAGGATAACCAGAGCTATATAGTGAAACCTTGTCCCAAAAAACCAAAAATAAATAATAATAAGGATGATGACAGACTGGGGTACTTCAAATATAATTAAAAGTAGGGGGTATAAATTATGAATTTACATAAAAGATTACTTGAAATCCCATACAAATAACATGGGCTTTCTTCATAAATTAATGGAGATAATAGGAAGAGGAGGAGGGATGCTTTTATTCTAGACTTTTTTTTTAAGTTTTATGAACATTTTGCTGTGTGGTCTAGACTGGCTTGGAATTCAAGACCCTCCTCTTCCTCCCCTCAAGTGCTGATATTACAGGCATGCACCACCATATTCAGCTTAGAAATTCTTTTTTATCCCTACAGAGAATATACAGGGTCTGAGAGATGGCTCAATGGGACAGGAGGCTCTTGCCCCCAAGTGTGACAACCTGAGTTCTATCTGTAGAACTTACATGGTATAGGGAAGTGATCTCCATATGTCTGACACAAAACAAACTTTGTAAAGGAATATATAATGAAAACTGTGTGATTCAACATAAGTCCATAAGGGCTTAGGGATTAACTCTGTGGTTTAAAGTGCTCAGTGTGCTTGAGGCCCTGGGTATTATTTCTAGCATTACACACAGAAAATAAAACACCAGATGATTCTCTTCAGATTTGTGCAGCATGGTGATTAGTTAATAATGATGTGTATCTGAAAATTACAAGATATCTTATATAATAATAATAAAAATACGGCATATGACATGGATAGGTTATTTGGTTTGACCTGACAGTTTTTAATGTATACAAACAGCAAAACACTATCACCATAAATATGTACATTTTTATGTGTCAGCTATACCTAAATTTTAAAATGTAATTTACTATAATAAAAATGTGCCAATCTAATAAGTGTGTTGTGTGTAAAATTTAAGATAAGGATATCTCTGTGTTCTGTAGCCAAGTAACCGGATTTCCATTTCAGCATCTCCCTCTCGAGACCTTCTCTTAATAAGGACTTCCGGGACCATGCTGAGCAGCAGCACATTGCAGCCCAGCAGAAGGCAGCTCTTCAGGTGAGCAAAATGAACATACAGTCTGGTCTCATTGGAGAGTTCTGGGTTCTAGAAGCCAGCACAGTACTTATTTTGTATCTCAGTGGAACAATATCAATAAACATGTTCCACACATAATTGTGTCGGTTTGCCCAGAGGGATTGAAGGACCAGAGCTGTAGTAGCGAAAATATCTTTTATGTGTTAATGCAGTCATGATTGATTCTGTGCTGTGCTTTGCCATGGGACTGCTTGTTCACAAAAACATTTAGACAGAATGATACAGAAAATTGAACTGGCTAGTTTAATAGTACCATATATATCTTCAAATTTGTCACACCGTTACTTAGTCTGATTGTCTTCCTGCTTTACTATTTGGATTTTTTTAATAGTCCACACTGCTTGCATGTACAGTATTTAAAGACTTACTGTTGTGCTTATGAATGTGATAAAATTCAGCTTGGAAACATTCTTCAAGGTAATAGTTTTAGTGTTACATTCCTCTTGGATAACTTACACTTCCCAGAGACCTTGGATGAAACATCTTTTTTGGGGGGGTGGATAGGTTATTCATATAAAACCCCTGTAACTAGCACTTCAAGGGTGGAGTGGGAGGGAGGATCTTGAATTCCAGACCAACCTAGACTACATAGCAAAACCCTAGCTCATAAAACTTTAAAAATTTGAAAGGTATATTGTAATTGCCTTTGCTTTTAAGCAGAATCCCAGAATTGAAATGGATATCATAAAGATCTTCTCACTTTAAATGACTAAAAACAGTCCTCAAAAAGAGGGGGGTTACTGATAGTTTTAAATTAGTTGCATTCCAAAATTCTCTGTGTTGGATTTTAGTCATCAGTGGTCACTGTCCTCTACCCCTTTGGATGCTGCCCTTCTCCCAGACTTTTGTCTCCTGACTTTTACTGCTACTTTTCCTCACTCCAAAGAACAAAGCAATCGAGTCTGCTGATCAAGTCCCACAGAGATAAAGAGGCTGCCAAATAAGTGTCTGACACAATGTGTTAATCTGAATTGTGTCATTGTCTGTCTGTGTAAACAGAGTTAGCAGCATTAGACCTGTTTTATACAGAAATTAGATCTTAGGAATTCAGAAAGGATAAGGAATTTTAATGCCTTAGTTGAAAAAGTGTGTCTCTTAATAGCTTTTTTCTTTTTAATCTTTCTCAGCATGCCCACGCACATTCATCTGGATACTTCATAACTCAAGACTCAGCATTCGGGAATCTTATCCTTCCTGTTTTACCTCGCCTTGACCCAGAATGAAGAAAGCATCTGTGATAAAGGAGACCTTGTACTATCAAATGTCAAAGCTCTCACTCGGCTCTGTACAAACTCTGACTTTGAGAATTTTGGAGAACTTAGCTTTTGTTTCTTTAAAGAAAGGAATAAGGAAATGAGTGAAGAAAGAAGGGCTGGGGTGCCAAGAACTTTGGAAGCAGTATCTTCGGCGGAATTGGTTGTGCTGGCCGTGACTAACTTTTTTGTATTGCCATTGGACTCTTCACTCTCAGACTCAGAATTGCTTAGTTTCATAGAATCTGCACCGTCTTCAACAAATTGGACTACTGACTCATGCATGAAGCCCTGGGTTTGACCCTAGTGCTGCACAAACAAGCTCTGATATGTATTCCTGTAATCTTGGCACTAGAGAAACAGGCAGGAAGAAGTTCAAAGCCATACTTGCCAAGGTAGTGATTTTGAGACCAGTCTGAGGTATATGAGACCATGCCTCAAGAAACAAAAGCAAACAAAAGAACTATTTCTAATCCCAACTTCAAAGGAAGCATCGATGCTTTCTAAAAATGTGAACTGTAGGCTTATATTGTGGTTTCTTGTATTCAGAAGCAACATATCTAGACATACTCTGAGCTCATAACTATTTCTCCAACTCTGAATTTTAAGAGAACTCCCAAGTAAGACTAAATTACCACGGGGAAGTGGTAAGTGGTGGATCTATGAGTTCAAGGCCAGCCTGTTCTACAGAGGGAGTTCCAGGATTGGCTCCATTGCTACTGGGAAACCCTGTCTTGAAAAACAAACAAAAGACTAAACTACCAACCAATCCTAAATCGTTTCAAATAAATGATACTACAAATGATGTGACTAAATACTGTTATGAAAAGCAATCAAGCAATATGGTGATTTTAAATGTATTCGTATTCTCACTTCATGTTGCTATATAAATGGTGTGCTTGAATGGTTTTCTACTTTTCATCTCATTGAAAACTTAAAATTAGGCAAATTTAGGACCTTTTAAATCCCGTTAAGCTAGTTGCTCAATAGGGCCAAACTTTTAACAAGAACCTTGAGGTGCTCAATTAAATATGTAGTAGAATTAGAATGTGATTAAAAATAAAGTGTGAAAAGCAGAGGTTAGAGAGTTCTGTAACACAACCTACACACAAATGTCATGATCAAATGATATTTTATAAGGAGGTTATTTTGTAAAGTTCCTGGCATTTTTTTGTTCTGAGTATGGAACCTAAGGATTTGTAAAAGATGTGCAGTGTTGTTTCACTGAGCCAAAGCCCCAGTCCTTACACAACTCCAAGTAACTAATATCTCACATCCCCATTCTCTCTGGTGTTGGGGGAGTTTAAACTTAACATTCTCAGTTGGGTCAATATTTAGCCACAGTTATACTCCTAATAGTTCCCTGTAGGTGTCTTCCCCAACCACATAGCACCACCCTGCTCAAAGAGTGATGTAGTAGTGAGCAGTCCTAGAAGAAGCTGTGCCTCTTAAGAACCTGAACTGATTCCTATATCTGAATAAGGTGGAACTCTTCCAGTTATAATAATGCTCCCCATTGCAAGATGGTGCCCTCATGTCTGCTGTGTCTGCTCCTCTTCGCCCAGCTTCTCCTTGGGCTCTTGGTAGCTTTCATTTTCTCAAATTTCACTGTGTAAAATTCAAGTGTGGAACACTGTTTATGTTCTCTGTGACCCCTGATATACTAACACGGTTCTAAAATTTATCGACTGATGTTAGAAAGATAAAGTGAGTGTATAATTTTCCCACCATTGAAGCTTTTGCCTACTGTGTGACTTTGTAATTTAGGTGCCTGTTTTTCTTCCCTGTTTTTGAGATAAATACCGTGATGAGAAACCCCTTAAGGGAGATAGGGCTCATATTGACTCACAGTGGGAGACATAGCCCATCACAGTGGGGAAGTCAAGGCCTCACTCGGCTTGAAGCAGTTGTCACATCTACAGTCTTGTAGAGAACAAAGGATGGATGCAATTGCTTTCTCCATTACAGCCAGGAAATGGTGCCACTCTCAACAGTGGGTGTATCTTCTACCTCAGTTAATACTATCAAGGTAATTCCCCAAGGCAGGTCCATAGGCCCATCTCTTAGGTGACTCTAGATCATGTCATGCTGATGATGCTATCCCACTAACTAGGACTTTACACGGGTCCTCTGCTTTGTGTGACATAGACACAGAAATGAGTATGGCATGTGCTTTGTTTGATGGACAGAAAGATCACTGAGACTTGTATGAGGAGGCAACATTGAAGGATCCTACTCTAGCATACAAGTAGTCGTAAAGCATGCAGTTATGGCACAATAGAAGCATCTTGGAGTACACTTTGGTCTGGATATGGTTAGAAGAACATAGGTAATGTAGCTGGCAAGAGAGTGAGTGAAGGGTACCCCAGATGAAGATCAGAATTGCAGTTGAGCCCAGTGTGGTGGTTCATGCCTAATCCTAGCACTCAGGTAAGGCTAGCCTGGACTACCTTACTCCTTAACCCCGCCCTCACCCCCAAAAAAGTATGGTAAAAGAGAATGGGTTAGATCAGGGATGAAGACTAAAGTGTTAAAGATAGAATTGGACTCAGTTGCAGCCCTGGGGTGAAATTCCTTCAGTGCTATTTCTCTGGGATCATGGGTGAATTTAGGTAAATCACTTAGCCTTTTGCATGCCATGCCATCTATAAAATGGGAACAGCACATAACTGACTATTGTCTTACTTGTTAGGCCAGTATTTTCTAAAATACAAGTCTCAGCTTGTTTCTGGGTTGAGAAGGCAGCTTAATGGTTTAATGCATTGTATCAGCATTAAATAAAAAGAAACAGAAAAAGAAAACAGTGTCCTACATGTGTTAATAGGTGCTTTAGTTTCATGAATGTACTGTGACTGTGTGTATATGTGTATTTAGTTTATTTACATTCTGTTCTAGTATAAGTCTTAAATAAGGGTAAAGAGTTTGGTTTTTCTCCCTCTGGTTCTTCTCTTCATTAATGTACTGCATCTAGAATGATACCTGCTATATTGGGGGTGTTTGTATCTACTTGTTGAAAGAGTGAGTGCAAGAACACATACAACGAACCTTGGTTTCAACAAAACAGAGGACACAGTCAACAAGACAAAACAGCAGCCCACAGAATGGGAAAGTATCTTCACCAACCCCACATCTGACAGAGGGCTGATTTCCAAAATATACAAAGAACTCAAGAAGCTAGTCACCAAAACACCAAACAACCCAATTAAAAAGTGGGGTACAAAACTAAATAAAGAATTCTCAATAGAGGAATCTAAAATGGCTGAAAGACTTAAGAAATTGCTCAATATCCTTAGCCATCAGGGAAATGCAAATCAAAACAACTCTGAGATAACCATCTTACATCTGCCAGAATGGCTAAAATCAAAAACACCAAGGACAGTTCATGCTGGAGAGGATATGGAGAAAGGGGAACACTCCTCCATTGCTGGTGGAAGTACAAACTTGTGCTTTGGGGTATCTCAGGAAAATGGGAATCAGTCTACCTCAAGATCCAGAAATTCCACTCTTAGGCATATACCCAAAATATGCACATTCATACAACAGGATGTCTGTTCAACTATGTTCATAACAGCATTGTTTGTAATAGCTAGAATCTGGAAGCAACCTAGATGCCCCTCAACTAAAGAATGGATGGAGAAAATGTGCCAGATTTCTCTTTAAACCTATAATGTCTCCCTCTATTATGGTATCTTTTGCTCTCCTCTATTCTTCCCCTGACTCAGTCTTCCTGATCTCTCATGTTCTCCTCCCCACTTCCTCTTCTCCCCTTCTCTTTTTTTACCCACCCCACCCCTTCATGTTCCCAATTTGCTCAGGAGCTCTTGTCCCTTTCCCCTTCTCCCGGGGGAAATAATACTCCATTTACACAATGGAGTATTACTCAGAGGAAAAAAAAAAAAACAATGGAATCTTGAAATTCGTAGGCAAATGGATGAAACTAGAAGAAACCATCCTGAGTGAGGTAACCCAGTCACAATCAAACATGGTATATACTCATATGTAGATTTTAGACATGGAGCAAAGGATTACCAGTCTACAATCCACACCTCCCGAGAAGCTAGGAAACGAGGACCCTGAGAGAAACATGGTCCCCTGGAGACCATAATAGAGGGAGGCATTATAGGTTTAAAGAGAAATATGGCACTAGGGAAATGTCCAAAGATTCACAAGGATAACTAAGAATCTAAGCAATAGTGGAGAGGCTACCTTAAATGCCCTTCCCCTATAATGAGATTGATGACTACCTTAAGTGCCATCCTAGAACCTTCATCCAGTAGCTGATGGAAGCAGAAGCACTCACAGCTAAGCACTGAGCTATATTCCTGGAATCCAGTTGTAGAGAGGGAGGAGTGATGAGCAAAAGGGTCAAGATCCTGCTAGAAAAACCCACAGAAACAGCTGACCTGACCAAGTGAGAGCACAGGGACCTCAGTTGTATAGCTGGGGAACCAGCATTGGATGGAACTAAGCCCTCTGAATGTGGGTGCCAGTTAGGAGGCCTGGGCAGTCTATGGGGCATCTGACAGTGGAACCAGTATTTATCCCTAGTGCACAAATAGACTTTGAGAACCCATTTCCCATGGAGGGATACTCGCTCAGCCCAGATACCTGGAGGAGGGCCTAGGCTCTGCCCCAAATGATGTGACAGACTTTGATGATCCCCCGTGGAAGGCCTCATCCTCCCTGGGGAGTGGATGGGGGCGGGTTGGTGAGGGTCATGGGAGGATGGGAGGGAGAGGGAACTGGGACTGGATATGTAAATTAATATTGTAAATTAAATAAATAAATAAATTCTCCATCTTATTTTTGAAATAGGGTCTCCCAGTGATTTTTGCTAGACTGGCTAGCAGGCCCCAGGGATCCTCCTCCTCTTCAGTGCTGGAATTACAGCTCATGCCTGGCTTTTATGTGGGTGCTGGGGGTTGAATTTAGGTCCACATGCTTATAGTTTACAATGTGAGCCATCTCCCTAGCTCCTGAAAATGTGGGTTTTTTTGGGGGGGGGCTTGGGATTTGAGGCAGGGTTTCTCTGTGGCTTTGGAGGCTGTCCTGGAACTGGCTCTTGTAGACCAGGCTGGTCTCGAACTCAGAGATCTGCCTGTCTGCCTCCCAAGTGCTGGGATTAAAGGTGTGTGCCACCACCCAACTCCGAAAAGGTGTCTTTGCATGTGTGTGTGTGTGTGTGTGTGTGTATTTTGTTTTTCTGAGACATTTTCTGGAAAATAAAATTTGAAAGCCACCAAATAATTGAGATGAATTATTTTTATGATGACAGAATAAAACCAAAATGGCTCAGTGATTTTAAAGGCAGGGAGGGGTGGGCTTTTCTTGTTGTTGTTTGGTTGGCTTTTGTTTTGTTGTTTTCTGCCACCCTGAATCTGTGAGTTATTTTATTAGATCATCTTGATTATTTGCAGGAAATAGTTATATGAGTTCAAAGCCCACTTAAGCAAGAGCTTTGACAAGATTCTGACAACGGAAGATGAACACAATGGGAATTGATAGTTTGGTTAAGCCCCACCAACAGATTCTCATCAGTGAGCACAAGTTCTGTTGCAACAATGATAGCCAACCAGTAGTTATGCAGTGCCTTCCCTATTCATGTCTGTACGTAGTAGTTGATTTTTATAAGAACAAATAAAGAATGAACATGAACCATGAGGAGGGGGAGAAGTCACTGTATTAATGAGTCTAGCTATGTCAAGCATGCAAAGACATACCTAGTGAATCTGGCTAGGAGACAGCTGAGGACATGAGCATGAAAGGACACGTGAAAGCTATATCAGAATAGCATTTGAACTTCATTTACAAGATGGAATATTTTGAGACAGAAAAGACATTCAAAGGAAAGGTAATCTATGTATGAAGGCAGGAGGAGGATGTGAGGTATACAGGGGTCATCATGGAGTAGACAAAGAGCAATTTCACTGGAGCACAGATTCGTATAATATTTTAGAAATGACTAAGTGGACTGGGAATACAGTTCATTGGTGGAGCTTAGTATACATGAGGTCCTCAGTCAAATCCCCAGCACTGATATTTACAAAATGAGCCTGAGTCTAGGATGGTTTCATGTTTCAGCGTCTTTTCTGGAGTGAGCTACTTTGCTTGGTGCAAAGTTGAGAGCCACTGAATATTTAGAGGCTTAGACAGGTATAGAGATGAATAAACTTAGCCCTTGTCGTCACGTAGAAAAGGTGAACTTGGGAGATACCAAAAGAACATGACCAATTCAGCTCACCTCTACTTCACTGGTTTCTGCAGTCTTTCCCATCTCATTATGTACCTTTTCCCAAATTCAGCTCACCTCTATCTACCTATATTCTTTGAGGTTTCTTCTTTAGATCTGTCTCCAAGAACTTTTAAGGAAAAAGCCAGGTACTGTCACAGGTATTAAATCAGTCTTCACACAGCTCATAAGATAGGTGAATAGTCTTAGAATTTACTCAGTGCCATGTTCTTCCTAACATCACATTGTTATTGGTCATGTTTCCTTCTATGGAAGCAGACTCAGCCAGTTTTTCAACTCCTACCACTATTACAGGCATCTCCCATTGTGATTAGTCTCTAAAGCGAATCTCAATCTGTATGTATGCATACAAGGGGGCACAGGAAAGAAACCGTCGACATGACTGCTCCATTACTGGAGGAAAGGTTTTTTTGTGAATAAGAGAGATAAAATATCCAGAGGCGTCTGGCCGAGTCCAAAGCAGGGAGAAAGAGAAGCGGACTGGTCATGGCCAGTGCTATCCGCAAGAGAAGATGACAGCACAAGAGAGCAGGGGTGGACAAATCTGTGGCTCATAAGTAACAGAGGAAGGACTGACTCCCGGAGATGGAAAGCCATGTCACAAGTCCCTGAGGAGTGCTGGATTTCATGAGACTGCCAGAAATCCTACAGTCCAGTTTGAACTCTAGATACGTGAACACCCTGAGATCTAACAATGTGTATGTCACTGTTCTTATGAACAGGTGGGCTCAGTTCCTGTCCCTCACCCAAGTGCTGGCCTTTTGACTTCTGACAAACAGTATGGCAGAAGGCAGGCTATCTGAGAGGGCTTAAAGAGGGCAGGTAGTTTCTGCTGTTGTCCTCTATAGAGAAGCCAGCAGACGTGAGGAGTCTCACTCCCCGTGGCATGTAGTATCAGGAAGCCTATACCAGCTCCATGAAGAGTCCACATGGAGCACTGGACGAGTTAGGGTTACTACTGCTATGACAAACGCCAAGACTAAAGCGACTAGGGGAGGAAAGGGTTTGGCTTACACTTCCACATCTTAGTCCATCCTTCCTGAGGAAGTCAGGACAGGAACCTGGAGGCAGGAGCTGATGCAGAGGGTGCTGTTTACAGGCTTGCTTTCCATGGATTGCTCAACCTGCTTGCTTATAGAACCCAGGACCACTAACCCAGGGATAGCACCACCCACAGTGGGCTATGCTCTCACTCATCAATCACTGATTAAGAAAACGCCCTACAGCTGGATCATGGAGGCATTTTCTCAATTGGCGTTCCCTCCTTTCAGACAAAATGAGACAGCAAAGCACCAAGCTAGCATGGCGTCAAATCCCAGCACTCAGGAGGCAGAGGCCAGATTGGTCTACAGAGCGAGTTCCAGAACAGCCTCCAAAACAATACAGAGATGCCCTGTCTTGGGGGGGGGGGAGCAAAGCACCAAGCTGCCAGATAGTGATAATGAGTGAAGCCTTCATGCACTTTCCTGACTGGCCCAGCCACCAATGGATGAGGTTAAGTGAGTAACCCCTACTGACATATGTCACAGGAACCAGCACTACCTGGATGAG